TTCCTCCATTTGGGTCCTCCCCTCTGAGTCCTCAAACCAGCAATGACCTTTCCCTTCTCTGAACTTCTGTGACCCTTTGCTTTACCAAGGGGCAGTGTAGCTTAGTGGTTATAAATATGGGTAGCTTGGGTTCAGAAGTTGGCCCTTCTGTTCTCTGGGTATATGATTTGGGCAAGTTCTTTAATTCTCTGTGCTTCAGTGTTCTCCTCTGTTAAAGGGGATGTATCAGTCAAGATTCTGTTGCAGAGAACAGCATTGACTCTTGCTTATTTAAGCTGAAAGTAATGTATTATAGGGTACAAAATAACACACAGAACATTTGAGTTGCCAAAGAAAAAGACTCTAATTTGAGCTTTCGGAAGATTCCCAGGCTACTTGGCAGAAAGAGATCACCACGGGAGCTGCTGCTTCTTCCACAACCCAGAAGTTATCTGCTGAATGGAAAAGCCGAATAGAAATGCAAGGGCTGCAAGAGCCATGCCCACTATCTGTGATTCAGCAAATAAAATGCATGTCCCATGCCTACCTCTGGATATCCACAAAACATAGCTACTAGTTAGCATGGTTACAGGCAAACCACATTGCTCTGTAGCCATTTTTACAAGCAGAGAGAGCCAAGTGTGGCCTCTGCCTCGCTTCCTCCTTCTAAGTTTTAAGGCAGTACTTCTGAGTCACCAAATTCAAATTACAGCCAGTTGTAGCTGCAAGGGAGTCTGAGAAATGTAGTTTCTGGGTCTCTGGCCTCTGCATTTCAGAAAGGCACCGGTTGGGATGAATGTTGATAGCTAATCCACCATAAATAACATCCATATGAGGTTAAAAAATGTACCTAACCCGTAGGGTTGTTGTAAGGATTACATGAAATAATAAATATAAAGTACTCAGAACAGTGCCTGACACATGGGAGACTCTCAATACATGTAGCTACTTTCATCAGTTAACTTCTCAGATGGTGGTTCCATGGAGAGTCAAATGGCTTTTCATACAGCCCCAAATTTCCCACCTGCTAATAATTTTGATGAAACCACTTATTCTGTAAGAGGACCAGTTTCCTCATTTGCAAACTGGGGATAATGATCATTTTTCTACCTCATGGAAAAATGATCTGGTCCTATCACACTAGATCATGTGTGAAAGATGATTTGAAAATTCTAGTGAACGCTCTAATGGCTTGGGTGCTCAATGGATACTAGGTGAACTGGAAAATTACAGAGCTGTGCTTAGATTCCGATTCTTCCCCTGAGAATAGCAGTCTGCTTCCTGCAGTTTCATCTTATTCACCCTTGCACCACTGTCCCCCTTTAACGTTCAGAATTAGCCAGGGAAATCAAACGACATCACCACATCCCCATGAAGAAAGCAAGGCTCAGATGCTGCCATAACCACCTCCTTAGAGAGGGGAGTGAGGCTGTACCAAGCTCTTCAAAGCCACCCAGCCTCTGTCCTCTGCACACCAGTTTCTGCAACCAAAGGGTCAAGAAAAGAGGCTGGACCTCAAAGAAGAGACAGGTGGCTCCAGAGCGAAAACTGTAACACATTCTCCCCTGGGAGAGAAATTCCGAAAGTTTAGCTCACTCTTTCCTGCCATAAAGCACACTGAATGTTAACAGCTTGCTTCTGTCCAAGCTGGTGTTTTTTAAATTAAGTATTGTTAAATCCATACCATTTGGAATGATGCTTCAGACAGCCCTGACACTCTCTCTCTTGCTTCTGCTTTCATTTCACCTAATATATTGTGTGTGGAGCCAGTAACCGGCATTACGGCTGCCGCGGCTTCTGCTGGGGCTGCCGCTCAGACACTTGCAGACGGCTTTAATTTAGATACCTGAAGAGGAAAAAAGGAACTCGGCCAACGCCCTGCTCAGATGCCATGAGGGGCTTTTCCCCAGCTGCTGTTAGTATGGATCTAGATTACCTATGGTTTTATGTTATTTTTTCCTCGGCACTGAGACGGGTTTTAGAAATGAGAAAGTTGGGAGACAGAGAAGCTGTAGACTGAAATAAGAGACTTTCCATCATCAGGTAACATATACCCACAGTAAACCCTGGGAGCCTACTTTCTGCTCTTTCACCTTTGCTATGAACATCCCCCATCACCACGTCATTGCCAGCATCTGGACACGTGTGCGGGTACGCATGTAGAAATAGAAATGTATATGTGTGAGTATGAGACGAGAGTGCATTTAGAGTCAGAAAACCCTGGCTCAGGGGCCACTTCTAGCCAGTGGGGCCTCAGTCAGGTCAATTAACTTCTCTGAGCCTCAGTTTCCACATATGTAAAATGAGGTGAGTACTTAACCAATATCACAAAGTACTCATAAAGTTCAGATGAGATTGTAGATTTAAAATCATTTTGTGATCCTTAAAGATATTACATAAACTTTGCTAATTATCAAAATTAGTTCATTCTGAAAACTTTTCCTAGTCACTCTAATTAAACTTGATTTTGTTCTGCTTTTTCTGAAGTTATAGTAAACTCGGAATTTCCCCTGTACTGTGTAACTCTGGACTATGCAATTGTTTTCCGAGTTGCTCTGGCATTCCCAACAGAAAGGAAAATGCTATGAAGGACCAGAAGTATGAGACACTGTGGTGAGCATCCTCCAACCACTCAATAAATTATTAAGGCCTTGACTTAAAAATAGTGTACTATCCAGTGACTTCATTGAGGTGACCATCTTGCTGTACATTGGCACACCCATGAAAACACCAAGCAAAAATTTCTGACTCAAAATCCCTAGGCAATATTTATTTCTAAAGCAGAAAAGAAGCTAGACTAGCATACAAGTGGCTACCAGTTATGTTCCGACAATGCCAATTTTTTTTTCTATTTCTCTATAAATGATACCTTGTTCCTAGTGTAGTTGCTACTATTCCTTTCACCACTACCTGTTCTTTCCTTTGTATCTGCCTAATGAGTGAAGTTTATGATATAAAGAGGGAGGAGGTGGTAAAAGAACTAGTTGGAACTCTTTAGTTAATGACTCTGATTGGAGGAAAAAACCCTTTAGCAGAAAGCTCTAACATGTAAAAGAGAGACATATATAATATAGCTTTATGAATGAAAGTTTATTTCAATCAACCTTTTTTAATGTGATGAAGATTTCAGATAACAGCAGCCAAGCATTTTTACATCTACTTGTGAATACTCTCTAGCTTATGAGCATTATCTAGTGTTTGAGAGATTTGTAAAACTAATCTTTCAGAAAGGCAAAAGCATATTTCAAGAACAGAATCTCTTGGTCATGGATTTGTACTATCTATCTTTTTAGGTCCACATATTTAGTACTGAGGAGAAAGGTGAATCCTTGTATGCCCTTGACTTTCCTAACAGGTTGAAAATGGGATTTTTAAAGTTCCTCTCTCTCTAATTGATATACCATATGAAGTAAGTAACCTGAAGTTGAACAACCTGCTTTTCTTCACCTTTTTGAAAAGCAACACTACAAGTATGTATATAGGCAGATCTGCCTGTATTCACATGCCCATCATGGCTTGATCAGGTTTTCCATATTTGTGTGTTTCATACCTCTTGTCAGTATTTTTTAATAATGAAAGGAAAGAACATTAATTCTAAATGTCTTCTACGTCCACTGCATTTATTTCTGGGCTATCGGGATCTCTAAAGGGAAAACTTCCTGGTGACACACCTATGGAAATGTAAGGCCAACTTGGCTATTTCATTCTTTCAAACTCCAATGATTTCCTTTGCAGATAAGGGGAAATACATTCCTGTTTGACACTTGACACTTTTTCTAAAACTGTAATAAAATCTTCCTCTGGTGGAGTCAAATCTTGCTTGCTGGTGGATTAAACAGTTTCAGAAGTTTCCTGACCTTCTTGCTGTTGCTGGCCCTGTCGTCATTTCACTGCTCATTAGCACTTCCTCCAGGGTTGGACCGGCCTGGAAGATCATCCTGTCCAACCCTCTTGCAATAGTGGACAGAAAAAAAGAGGTAAATTTCAGTTCAGCCTTTTCTGCATCGTAGGCGCTCGGATAAAGGATGTGGGTGAGGTGGGTGAGGTGTGCAGGAGGCTGAAACTGTTGGTTAAAAGAAGGTTTGGGGATTAACTGAGGATTTAATTCATCCTTTCTTTCCCTCCTGCTGCTAAAGCAGATAGTTGGGAGTTGGCAGTGTGTCAAAACCAGGCTGTTCCTCAACCCCAAATTTCAGCCCCACTCATCCTGGGCTCTTTGTTCAGGGCTTCTTTTTAAACTAGGGGATAAATTTCTAATCGTGCATTTAGAATTAGTAAACCTTGGATGTTTTAAATTGTCACTTTACAAAGAAGCAACTTGCTGTGCTTTTTTTTTCTTTCAAATTAAGTCCTTACTACACAAAATAACTTCTGTCACTGTTTAGGTTTAGTGAGGAACTTTTAAAAACTTATATAGTGTCCTTTTTCCAAGTCAAGAGGGACAGTAAAGAGGAACTTTATGGAGGAGAATAAAGCAGTTGTCCAGAATACGTTTAAAGGGCACATTAAGTCAGTTTTTGTCTATGGTTCTTTCCCTTTATGGCATATGTTATATATTGACAGGGATTAAGTTTCTCTCCTGAATGGAACAATACACAGTCACAGGGAGCTACTGTACTTTACAAAGCAACAGACATCAGGACACGCAAATGGCAAATAGAAATGTATCTCACAAAGAACTAACCAGGTTCGTCAGAGCACAGTAGTCTGCTTCATCTTTTGCAACTCTGCATCTTTTGCATTTCTCTTCTCGCTCTGCTGCTCTCTCGCCTTTCTTTTCCGTCCTTTTCCCCCTTTTTTGCTCACACTGTTACACTTTCTCTGTCCCCTGGCTTTGTTATTCAGCATGTCTGATTAGCAGGAGCCTGATTGGCTGGCTGCCTGCTCCGAGAGAGATTCCATTCAGCTTACCCCCCACCCATCCACCCACCCACCCCTCGGTCAGGAAATGTGAGCGGGGCTGATGGAAGCTGATAGGCAGGGCTGGAGTGTTAGCACCAGTACTGGATGTGACAGCAGGCAGAGGAGCACTTAGCAGCTTATTCAGTGTCCGATTCGGATTCCGGCAAGGATCCAAGCATGGAATGCTGCCGTCGGGCAACTCCTGGCACACCGCTCCTCTTTCTGGCTTTCCTGCTTCTGGTAAATGCCTTTTCGTTTCAATACATTGCTATTGCCATTGAGTCTGGGTGCTGTTGGGGTGTGTGTGTGTGTGTGTGTGTGTATCTTTATCTTAAAACTGCAGGTAAAATAATGTAACTGATTAAAAAAAGAAAACTCCTTCCAGAATTTTAACCCCAACTTCCCAAGCAAAATAAAAGTCTGCAAGACTTTCTGGACTTAGTTACAGCTATATAATAATACTGATACTGAGACATGAACTTTGGGATATACTGCATGGAGTTCGTGAGCTGAGGACGGTATAAATGGTGGTGTGTATACTTGGAATTTGGATAACAGACGTCCTGAAATCAAACTCACTGTGGTGTTCCTGGAATTTTTTGAAGGATAGGCTATGCGGGGCTTTCCCCTATTGCCTTTTATGAATTATTTTCCCTCTATGCACGTGTGCTACAGGTCCAGGTAAAAGGGGGAAAGAGAGCCTCTTTGCAGCCAACCCAGATTATAGCTCATAATTACTGCAAGTCATTTATGGATACAACTTAATACCAGTATTTATGAATTGAGGATTACAGTCTTTGATCTCAAATTTACTTTTGAAGAAGAAGGGAAGAAAATGATGACTTTTTGTGCGGCTGATTTCCACAGTCATAGTGATAAGATGCTCTACTCTTGAACATCAGTACACACTGCATTTTTGACTCAAAGTAAACGTTCCGTTGTGACTCATACTTGGTTTTATGGGCAGAAAATGAACATTTACTGTCCAAAAAAAATCTACACTCAAAATATTAATAGCAATGCACATTTTTTTAAAAAACCAGAGTGTTCTGGGCAGGCAGCTTAGTAAACCTCATCTGAAGGTTTGATTCCAAAATTTGCACACACTGATCCAAACAAACGTGATTGTAGCTCTCCTTGTCACATTTATGACATGCCAGAACTTCCTCAGAAGGTAACAAGACAAGAAGGGAACAAGGCAAAAATGCAATGAATGTATAGACTGCATTGGTTTGTTGATGGAGAAGGAATGTTTTGTTCTGATTAGATTCTGATGAATTTGGTCTGCGCTATAATTTTGAAGAAGGAAAGCAATCCATTTGGTACAAATTGAAAAACTCCAGGAAGATTCATCAGAGTAATGAGACAGTGATTAAATATTTTATACATTACTGCTTCTTAATGATTTGCATCATTGTGGCTAAGAAATTATAATGCTGCATTGCAAGCGTTACAAATATAGAAATCTATTTTTAATTTTTCATAGAAATTTAAGACAAACTAAATTTTAAGCATGAATGGACTTTGCATTTTAGTCGTTCTGAGGAATAGAAAAAACAGAATGTTTAAGTGTGCTTTATGACTTGCAGAGCACACAATTTATGAAAGGTGTCTCATTTTTTCCATAAGGGGTGTGTTACTTGTATACACCATTAGTTTGTATTGTCCTTCCTTCTTTGTGATTTTTTTAAAGTGTGTGCTATTTTCCCTTTAAATTGCATCACACAGCAAATTGCCATTACACATTACTTTTTTTGATATTTTCATATGGAAGTATGATCTCATTATACTTCAGTAAAACTTTCCTATTCGGGAATAGATTGTTTTGCTACTCGTTTGGTATATATATTATATCTCTCTTTGATAGCTTGAATATCCATATATGCATTTGAGCATATGATTAGACTTACGTGGGGAAAAAGTGCTTATTTCAGAAGGACTTAAAACATATTATGTTGAGATTATAATAATTGTATTATGAAGAAAATATGAACTCAAACCTAGGTTTGTCTTATGCCTGCATTTAAATGAATTGGGAATCTGAGAGTTATGCTACAAAAAAAGAACTGACTGGTGAGCGTCTACATACATCCCTGTGCACAGCAATAACAGCATTAGTGATAACTGTCATGTATTTTATAATACATCTGAATGTGCCAAACTCTAGGCTAGTTGTTTGAGAAGTATGACAATGAATCCTTAGGATAATCATGCAAATAAGGCATTTTTTAAAGCCATTTTACAGATAATGAAACAAACTTACATTTGAACCCAAAGGTCAAAAAATGGAGAGAACATAACTTGTTTGCTTTGCACTATGTTTGTAAATATTCAGCAATAACGGAAGAAGCAATGGTGTGGATTGGTCTGTACTCTCTGTTGAAGGTATTTAGGCCTTTTGCATTGCCTTGGAAATTAAAGATTTGTATGATATAATGGGCACTTCTTACACCTGCTCATTAACTGCCCCCTTTAGCTTTGTAGCCAAAATTAAATTATTGGCTTAAGAGAAAGTGACCTTTAGCCTGATCTGTAGTGGACTTAGAACTGGAAGTATGGCATCGTCAGTTCAGCCTTAAGGCCTGACAGAGAAATAGAACTGGGGGGCTTGTTTTTCCTATAATCCTTTTATATACTATAAGATTCCGTCTACTGCTGGAATTATTTTAAGCAATTTCTAGAGGTCTCTTTAACTTAATTGAAAAACGTCCTGTTTAGTGGTAATCCCCGTTTCTACTTCATCAAAGTAGCCTCCATGTCATTGACAGCTGAATCATCTGTGCATCTGTATCGTGACTTGGTTCTTGAGTGCGTACAAATATTGAATGTTGTTCAGCCTCAGTTTTGTCAAAATCTTTTCTCCTTGGAACATTATTCCTGAGAGAATGGGCTCCCTGTGTCTTTTGTGTCTATTTTAAGTCACCACCCATATTTTCATGCGCAGAGCATACATCATACACTTCTCTTGTACTCTGGCCATAAAAGGACAGTAGTCCCCATCAAGAGATTTCATCTTGATATTCAGGTCAAAATAAGCCACATAGCACCACTTTCCCAATCTTCCCATCCTGCTCCCCTTTTAAATTCCCCCTCCTTTGTCCCAATTGTTTAGCTCAAAAGGAATGTGGCAAAAACCATGACCGGCCATTGACATATGTGTCCATCTACACTTGAAGTCAAATCAGTCCTTGTCAGAAAGGCATTTAATCAAATTTGCATTTGTTTTTTCTTTCTTTTAAGTGGTTTTAAGCTCTTTTGCCTGCTATTGTGAGAGTTGCAAGAGTAACACTAGGAATTATAATAAAGTACATGTGTTATTCTGCTGAATTTCTTTTTCTTCTCTGCACTAATTTATACATGGCAACTAGTCAAACACAATAGCCTATTCCCTTCAGTCCCTCTGGCACTGTTTTCCACTATTATCTAAGTGGATCTATCTTGGATGGGGAGAAGCACCATTAGCTTGTGGAATGAATGTTAAATCCCCTATTTATAGCAGACTGTGGCCTGTTCCAGCAGTGTGTGTGTGTGTGAGTGTGTCCACGTGCATGCACAAGCACCTTTCTCTCAGTGTTCACTCTGCATCTATTTCTTATTCTCATACCTAGAGTGTCTTTAAATCAAGCTTAAGGACTTTTCATATAAATCTGCAGAACGTAGTGAAGTAGTTATTTAAAAATTATTTGCTTCGTGTTTTTGTGACATTTCTTATCCAGACGTGGTCAACTACATTTTTGTTTTCTCGGGCTCCTATTTGTAGGGTTTCAGTCTGTTCGGGACCATTTTCTGGCCCGCATCATTATTTTCATGTGCACCAGCTCTATTACTTCACATAAGTTGAGGGAAGAATGTCCAATAGTGGTCACTAGTGAACTACGGAAGAATCCTGTTACACCAGGCAAGTTTTGCCTTGGGATATTATATGAACACTGAAGACTTCTGAGAGAATGAATAAATGAATATATATGTGTGTGTGTGTATTTGTACATTTCTATGAGTGTTAAAACATGTCGATATCCCTTTGCTATTATGTACGAATAAAGTGGAAAGCAGTCTTCTAGCACTCCATGGGCTAGGCTATTACTCAAATTTAGGAGCTGCACAGAGTTCCCTCTTATATCCTAGTAACAAAATTAAAGTCAACTGTACAATTTTTATCAGTAAGGTGTAGTTAACCCCTGTACCAGTTACTCATTTGTTTTCATCTCAGTTTATTTGGGTACATTTTACACAGAAAATATGTTAGGATGAGACAGTCGGTATTTTGGTTATCCCTTTTCCTATGGCTTAATCAAAGTATAATTTTAAACTCTTCCAGGAAAAATACAGCATTCTATGAATTTCTGCATTTCCTGCAGCACCTAGTAGAGTGCCTTGTACATTCAGGCAACATAACTAAGTGCGAACGGAATTAAGAGAGAGAAGAACTTACAGAGACTATCAAATTGTTCTCTAATTCTTTACATTTTTGATGTTTCCTAACTTCATATATATATAGTCCAGTGTCTTTGGTCGAGTGACAGCTCTACTTTTAATTTGTGTATCTTTCAGTTTCCAGGACTGACACGTTCTCAGGTCCATTCTTCCCTTCCCTCAGTAAGCATATTCTACTATTTCTGTGGTCTCATGAGTAGAATGACCTAGAAGTGACCTCTTCATAGCATGGGGACCAGAGTCTTTTCTTGAGTGAGAGCATTCCTTGAATCACCATGAATAACCTACCAGTTAAGTATGTTGAGATAATCACAGGAAAATGTGTCCTAAATCAAGTTTTATAGTTTTGTCGTTGTTACTAATTTTCTTCTTTTAGAGAGCTGGCTTCAAACTTTGTGTTTTCAACAGAATGAGACAAGTGCATGTCATTTTCTGTCTACATCATAAAAACCATACCATGTGGTTGAATTTTGGCTTGATTGGCAGTACTGGTTCATGAGCGGCTTAGGACTGGCATACCAGAGGTGATGTAAGTCCTAAAGGATCCTAATTGAAATAGGCCAGCACAGCTGTGTGGGGAGCCTGCCTGCTCACTGGGGTAAGCTGTTGCTATCAACCCCTTCTTTCCATGAGCTCAAAAATAAATGACTAAATCTCCCCAATTCCCGAACTTCAAGATTAAAACCTACATTGAATAAAGCTTAACTGTTCTGTTTCCCCTCCCAGGGACTTTGCTAACTGGAGCACCCAGCACGGAGGGCAGTTAGTTAGTTAAAAGTGTTCTGGCCATGTCAAGAAAATGCTCT